GCTGGAGTCCCAACAAGGGAGCTGGTTTCTCTGAGAACACGCTGGGAGTCGGAACTCAGCCCCACCCAGTGTCGGAGGAGATGAGACGAGAGCTGGAACATCAGCGACTGAAAAGCATTGGGAGCCCTCTTGGAAATCTTGCTCGATCGCCTTTGAAATCAGACTTTCCTTCCGCCATGCTCCACGTGGTGACAATTCCAAGAATGACATCAGGTTACTGGTCCCCCTGATGGCAGTTGGTTCTTTTCCATTTTTTAAATGATTGACCGATCTATAAAAACGCAATAGTGACCACCGGTACTGGAGTAGCCCTTGTGGCATTGCTTCACATTTTAAAATTCTAAATTTAAATCTTGGGCAGCAGGTCCGCTGAGTAGTAGAGGCTCCATTTCAGAGACCGGGGCCATGACCCCGGCAGCATCTTTCACAAGGCCACTCTGTTTGACTGGCCAGTGGCAGGAAGGACACAAAGCTTGTATTTATCTTTTCGATGGGACAGTGCCAGCTAAAAGGGTGCCTTTTTGAACCCAGCATTCCAGGTTTAGAGAATCTAATCAGAAAAACGGCTGCTTCTTCCAAAGCTTCCCATCGGGGCCATTCTCTTTGCTTTATGTCCCTTGTAACTTCTCAGCGTCACTCCAGAATCCCTTCCAGGTTTTTCCTGACCAGTGGAACTTGAAAAAACAAAATTACCCTAGGAGAAAAACATTTTTTAAAGATCAGCTATCAGATGTTGGGGATCTTGAGGTATGTTCTGCCTCCCACTGAGTGCCTCACTGTGGATCAAGGCCATTGGTCAAGGGCAAACTAGGATGGTTGGCATCCATTGAGTAGATAACCATGGCTTTCGAAATCTCTGTCAAGATCAGAATGCCAATTGGCAGGGGAAGCTTAAAACAACAGACAGCCCCATTGAGCTTTATTTCTTCCGCTGGAGCAGCCAGCCAAAGAGGAGACGGTTATGTTCCTTTGTGACTCTGAGCAAGCCACTGTAGCTGGGCAGAGCGGGCACACGTGTGGACGGAGAGTCCTCTGGGGAGGGAGAGGGTGTTCTTGGGTCCCTCGTGCTGACCCTCGCCCCCCCGGGATTCTGAGAGTGCCTCAGTACCAGTTATTTTAGCCCACGCTCCATAAATCATCTAATATGGGGCACTTTATCAAGAATTATCAAGAATTAGCTCGAGGAATTCACTCAAGCCAGGGTCCTGACAAAGAGATCAAAGGGGACTCAGTAGACTTACAAACTCGGTCGGTCACGTTTCAAAGGTGTCTAGGGTAATTCTACTCAAGCTGGCCTCGATAGCCTTAGGATGCGTGTCCGTGCCCTAAGACGGTCAGCACGTGGCCCTGAGGTGATGCTGTGTGCTGTCTTTCCCATTAGGTCGGCCTACGGCCATCACTTTGACGGTCAATGGGTCACCCAAGTAACTTGATCTGTAGGTAGACGTGAGGGAGCCCTGGGCATCCAAAGTCTCTAATGTCCCCCAGTTCTAAGCGATGTCCCTTGATCAACCTGGGTGGTTCCCCTAGGCAGAGATTCCAATCTGTTCACTGTCGGGGGCACGTTCCCAGGCAAGGGTGCTGTGACAGTGCCAACGAATGCCCGCTATCCTGCTTCCCAAGGAGTTTTGTATACGTCATCTGAACGTGCGTGAGCGGCCCCAGGAGCCGAACGAGCGCGGTGTGTGTAGGCCCATTTTGAAAGGTGGATGCTGAGATCCAGAATGAGGAAGCAATTTTCCGAGAGTGGGTATCGATGAAACTGGAACTAGAACCCAGGCCTGTTCCCTTGATCAGTGCTCTTTCCCCGATGCTTTCTCCCGGGCACGGCTAGCTGTCTAGAGAATTTGAGGTAGTGCTATTGGAGGATCAATTCTAAATTGTTTTTCTTCTTATGCTGGTTATAAATTGGCCATAGAAATGCCAGGACTGGGTAAAATCAACGGCAGTGCAGTGAATTGTTTAATATGACCCTTCTAACCTCAGCCTTTTTAACTCCCACCAAGTGACTTGTGTTTTCCTGATGGGTCTGGGCAAGAAGGTGGGGGAAATACGAAGAACATTATGTCATTAACAATGAGTGGTTGTGGCCAGGGTTCATTGTGATAGGCATCCTGCTGGGCGTAAAATCAGCCACCTCAGAAGCAGGCAGGGCAGGGGGATTTGCTGCCAGCAAGAGAGAAGAGTCAGGAACGGCATGCATCCTTTGGACCATAAGATCCTTGCATGTGAAGTCTCCTTGATTCAAGAGGCAGCAGTGACACCAGGGGAGCAGCAGCAGAACCATGTGACAGAACATGACCGGAGACAGCAGTAAACCTTCCAGGCTGCAGAGTTGAGTGCTTTGGGGCAAGAGGGTGGCTCTCGGAGTGCCTCTGGGCACTTCCTTGAGAGAACTGGGTTTGCTGACCCATGGAGCTGGAGTGGAATACCTTCAGATGGAGGCTTATATTGGAGTGGCACGCCCTTTGGGCGGCATGTATTGGCAGGCCTCAAAGCTTTTTAACATCGCCGAGTAGGGCAGAGGCCAGGCCACAAAGCTGAGAGCCAGAGAGGCCTGTCTGTGGGCACCACAGACAAGACGTTGTTTTGTCCGAACAACTGTATTCTGAGCATTTCTCACCTGAATTGTAACCTGTGAACTTCCTGAATTAACCCCATTATCACGAGTACTGTCTGTGAGTTCTGTGTGGCCAGGGAACAGACTTCTAGAACCCAGCAGAAAAGCATAGAGTCCTGTGAGCGACAGAGCAGGCACCAGAAGACATCAGAGATCCCTGGAAGACTCAGGTGCCATCTCTCGACAGATTTTTCTGAGCACCTATGCTTTGCTGGCTGCCCGATGTCCCTGATGGAAACCTCCCCTGCTTTACTCCCGATGCCCTCCCGATCAAGAAGGCAGGTGAGGGCAGAGGTGACTCTTCTCCGTGGTCCAGGCGGAGGAATTAGGGCCACACGCAGGGTCTTTGTGAGCCTGTGTGCCCATGTTGTTCCCATCTCTTCTCCGCCCTGCTACACACGAATCCAAGAGAGCCTAAGTACCGGGCACTCTGCCATTGGGACGGTGACGTCCATGCACCACAAAGAAGGACGGGAAGGTTTTGAAAGGCAGTCTGGAGTTTCGTAGCCTTCCCGGCATCCTGCAAGTTACATAAGAGCATCCTAGTTACTCTCCCTCCTGCATTTCTCACAGCTTCCTCTTGGTTGCATTTTCTGTTTGACCACTTGGCGGGGGTAATGATTCTTCTGATAGCAGAAAATGCCAGGTAAATGGGTGAAGGAAGCCTTCCTGGTAGAAGTAATAGCATGTGTGGAGGTCCATAGCGTGGCCACAACAGAGTAAGAAATCAGTTTGTTCAGCCCACTGCAGTGGCGAGGGAGTTCTTGACCCGTGGCCCAACTGAGCAGCACAGGAAGTCGATATTGTCAATGAATAAACCAGACGCTGTAATCATCCTGCGGGTATGCTCTGGTGGCGCAGCGGTTAAAGCACGGCTCACAGAGAGGGTCAATGGTCCAAATCCACCCATTAGTCCTCCGGAGGAATTAGTAAGGAAACCCTATGCGGGACAGTTCGACTCAGACCTCAGCATTGACTCTAGGGCAATAGTTGTTTGTTTGTTGTTCATCTTTCTCCTCTGAGGCACCAGGCTCCTTAAGTAAGTAGTGGCTTTCTAAAATCAGTGCAAGAAAAGATGTCACACACCTCTCTCTCTCACTATTTTATATTATATCTTAAAATGATATTTTTTTATATTTGAGGCAAAATAAAATATTAAACTTAATTTTTGAAAAAAGACCTTTTTCATGTGGCTATTAGAAAATGTCGTTATACATATAATTCACGCCCGTATTTCTGTTATCTTGCACTCTCCTAGACTATGTGAAGGCATCCTATCCTTTATCCTGGGAGCACTGGGAAGTTTGGGGTGCCTTTTAAACAGAGGAGTGACATGATTAGATTTGCATTTCCCAGGACTATGGTGGGAAGATCAGGCAGTAGGAAGATGAGGTAACACCTGAGGGGAGCAGGTGGGGAGAAAGGTGTAGTGGTTCCGGTGAGAGTGGCTGGGATGGGAGGCCAATGAGTGCCCAGCCTCATGCCAGTGTTCAACCGTGAGCCAGACTCTAGGTCAAGGGTGATGCCTGGACGCTGTAGAAACCATTCTCTTGACAAAGGGGTCACAAAGCAAAATGAAATACAACTACATCATACGCCGTGGCCAGCCAATCTTCCTCTGAGCATGGCTTAAGCACCAATGTGCTTCTTACATTTAAGGCATCACTAAACAGTCTGAGTTCATTTAAGTTCTAGGGTGAGCAATCTCTCGCTGTGTAATGGGTCAGGCTGGTTTTCATCCGCCACAGCGGGTCTCCTGGTTGCAATTACTCATGATGGTGGTCCCTTTCAGTGCTACTTAACCAGGTATCGCTGCGGGCCAGAGGAATATAGAGCAAGCCCCAAACCCTAAAATGTAAGTCTAAAAATTAACACATGCAACAACCAAGTCATAGTCCGATGATTTTCTTATGTCGGAGTTGAACTGTAAATTTGAATGAAATGACCTATCCTAGCTGTAGACTTAAGAACCTGAAAACAAGTCATTTACTCAGGAGTTTTAAGAAAACAAGTTTCGATCATTTTCACCTCATGGCTCCTTTTCTGTGGGATCCAGATCTTGACTGAGTTCACCACTCAGCTTAGGGACTTTGGGTAACTGAACTTCTCTAACACACACACAACACCTTCCGTACGGTGTGCACTGATGAGGTGAGCACGAAACAATGTCAATGAAGTAAAAAAACAAAAAACAAACACGACAATGTATTGGCTTCTTAGAACCACCTGGCTCTCAGGTTATCCTAATAACTATACAGATGCTATAAATGGGAATGAGGCCCTTAGGGAAATTTTAAAACAAAGCCATTGGATAGTACACCTAAAGCTAGCAATACCAAGGTTAGAGTGAGTTTTCAAAAAATGCGACCAACCAGTGATATATATATACCAAAGGAACTTTTTTATTGTAAACGAGATATAAAGTACAACAAAAGAAATATTGTGCAAATTCTAAGAGTCACAAGGATTGTTTTTAACTAAGCAGAAACTTTTTGTTTTACCACCGTGTGTATCATCCACTATACAACAAAACATAACAGAAATACTGTTCACTAAAGCGAATGTTCCAATAATTTGTTGACCCATCTAGTGCTGCATCTCCCCCAAACGCCTAACAAGACGACCTTAGTCCACTGGTAATAGTCACTTTCTGCTTGCACCTGTCACAGCCTCTCAGCAAAGGACACTTTACCGAAGACAAAGCCATCTTTCTCAGAGTTGGCTGAGCTTTGATAGTCCTTCAGAATAAATGCTTTCATCCTCAGGTTTTTTTTCCTACACAAAGTGCAATGTATCTTAAGAGTCTATGGGAAACACACTGGTACACAATTTTCAAGTCTACACAAGAAATGGCAGGCAAACTAAAGCCCAAAGCATAATAAAATGACGAGAGTAATTTGTTAAACTTTCCAAACAAAAAATGCCACCAAAAAAAAAAAAAAAAGTTGCTATATATCTCAAAGCAATTAAATTAATGAGGGTTCCAAATCCTTCGGGCCCTCCGTAGCAATATACAGCCAGCGCTCAATTCCAAAGGTCAGGAAGAGTATAAAAAAATGCTCGTTCTAGATGTAGTTAACAGCTATGCCCACAAAGCTGACTGCAAGGACTAGGAATAGTAAACAAGAGAACTCTCGGAAAAGGTGACGGCGTATTTGCAACGGATACAAACTACTCTGGCAATCCCGTCTCTGTACCGTAATGCTGATTTCCGGTCTCTTACACTCTTGAAACCAGTGCCTTTAGAAGAATCACATTGAAAAGTTGGTCTCAAGTATTAACAGCAAAGGGAGGTGTCATAAACCGGGGAACACAAGTTCAAAATCTGTGCTACCTCTGCTGACCTCATCTGAAACCTTCAAAAGAAAACAGCTGAAAGAATACGGGCTCTCTCATCTCTGATGTGACAAGAAAGGAAGCCTGCTGTTCTGTGACCTGCCTGTGGCCCCAGCACTCTGCTTCTCTCACGCAGGCCAGGCCTTCACCCCAGACGGTGGGTGGGACTCCTGCTCTCGGCCCACCCTGTGGAGGGCCACAGACTTGCAGTGGAAGTGTGTTTTGGTTTTTTGTATCACCACTGGCTTTCGGCTGTCACCCAAACTTAGTCCTGACTCTCCACCTTCTGACCTATCACTGCGTGGGAGCAGGGGTTGAAGGTGGAGCAATGTCATTTAACTTGCTCACTTCCATCTGCCAGTTTGGGAGCTTCTTGGCAGACAGGTGGCGCCGGGCGTGCTTGGTCAGGTGGTCACTCCTCATGAAGCGCCGGTCACACATGGGACAGGCGAATTTCTTCTCCCCTGTGTGGGTCCGCCTGTGCCTGGACAGTTCATCAGATCGTGCAAACCGCCTTTCACAACCTTTCCAGCTACAGCTGAATGGCTTCTCTCCTGAAACAAAGAAATTCCGGGCATCGTTACTGTGTTCACTGCCATCTGAAGGTCCAAGCTCTGTTTCAAGTCCTAAAGGCTAAGTAATGAGCTAAGGCAAATTAATAAACTCTCAAATGAGTATTAGATGGATGGCACTACTTGACTTTCAACCATCAATCACATGAATAAAAATACTAAAAACCCCAGTTTCCCAACTTCAACTGTGACACACCTCAAAGGTACACTATGATAGAAGGACCTAGCCAGCCATCTAAAGAAGCGTCATTTGAGAAGTGGGAGGCCCTTGCTCTGGTGAACATCATCTAGTGAACTGGCGCGGAAGGAAGAGCTCTTCCTTGACACATCTGGCTTACAGTGGTGCTCCTAAGCTAGACTCATATTCCCCTAAGTGCCCCAAAGAGAAAGAAAGACATGGTCGGGTACCTGTATGTGTTCTCATGTGGGCCTTCAGATGAGAGCTTTTAAAGTACGTCTTGCCACATCCCGGGTGGCTACAGATGTGACTTCTTATCCTCAATGAGTCAATCTGTGGGGTGACTTTCGCGGCGGAAGCAGCGAAGCCTGGAGCAGGGGCGATGGGAGAAAGTCTGGTGCCGTTGGGGCTCACTACGGGGGGCTTTGGGTTCTGGACAACTGGCTGGGGCACGACAAACATGACGGCCCCTTTGGGCACCTGAGTGCCCATGAACACAACGGGCGGGCACACAGCTGGCGGCTGGCTGGGCGGAGTGCTGGGAACAACTGTTGTTACTACAGGGTTGCTGGCGGGGAGGGGCACCATCTGGCAGATGACCGGCATGGGCGGCGGCACTCCCCCTGTTGGCCCTGCGGCAGGTGGAGAGACCAGCACGGACTTCTGCTGCGGCGAGCCGGGAGCTGACTGAGAGCTACAGGTGACTGTCTCTGAGGAAGGAAAGTCATAAAGTGCAGCCGCCCGGGCCTTCTCGGCAGCGTCTGCTGCTGCGCTCCTCTCACATTTGGATCGGCTTGGTGACACAGCTGCACACGGCACGTTCTTTCTCGCTGCCTCGACATTTAGGTGGGTTTTTCTCCGGAAAGAACTGTCCTGATAGTTGAGGATACTGGCGACTTTCACGGGGCAGGACCGGTGGTTACAGAGCTGGGCGTCAGCCGTATGACGAATCACACTGGTCGCCTGAGCCTTGGGGAGCTTGGGGGCTGGTGCAGGAGCCTTCTCTTCCTCTTTGAAAGGGGCAGCAAGGTGAGGCTTGGGAATGTCTGGGAATGTTTTGAAGTGTCCAGTAGATGGCGCTGGTGCCATCAGATTGGACACCTGAGAGGGTTCAAAGTCGGAAGGACTGTAAGGTGGAGTCAAGCACTACAGAGGAGAGAAATACACAGGGGTCAGCAAGTAAAACTTGTGTTCATCATGCAAATCACCAGAGACGCTCTCGTTCACAGTCACCTTAAAAACAGGAATACTTACAAAAGCTGGGATTGTATGAAAGTCGGGCGTTCCTGGAAGCAGATTCTCTTCCTCTGACATGTCAGACACCGGTGTCACCGGTCGATGTTCCATGTATTTCTTCTTAAAATCGGACTTCCAGCTGCAGCTCATGGACATGAGTGCTTCCACAGCTTCAAAATCACTCTTCTCTGCAGCTTTGTTCCAGGAATACCTTTCGGAGATCATTTCCACCCTTTCCTCCTGCAAGAACAATGGCAAAGCTTATCAGCATATTCTTATTCATACAGAGGCATGGATATTTTCTTTTTTAAAAAATGATTTACACAGCCTTCCAAATCAAGTGCTTTCATCCCTACTTTTCGGTATGAACTCGGATATTTTTACTAGAAAGAAAGATGACCATGGACCAAATACATCATCGCATGAAACCTGCATTTTGTGAGCCAAAAGAAAGCATCTAAGCGTTTTCTACTCCACCTACAAGGGTAGCTACTTATAGCTGGGGCCAGACCACATAACTCAGGAAGCGTGCCACAAACAAAAAGGTTCACAGGCATTAATTCCGGACAGAGGGGGAGGAAAACAGTCCACAACCTTCTGACAAAGGCAAAGCCTCATGGGCAGAGCTCCCACCTGCTGACATGGAGCTGACCTTTGTCAAGTCACTCTGCACTCTGATAAAAAGGACCAGGGTATAAATGATCTTCAGGGCCTTGTACAGTTAGATTATTAGAAACATAGAACCACTCAGTAACTCGATTATGCTAAAAGAGGTCATTGACGTTTTATCAGAAAAAAAACCAGTTCCATTCAGCCTCACGTTTGCCATGCAAAGCAAACGTAGTGGATACAAAAACACAACCTAATTTTACGCTTGATCTTAGCCAAAAGCCCGAGAAACTATGCTAATTTTAATATTCTATCCATACTTTTCAACAACCCTGCAATCGATTTTAATCCTTTTAAAGAACTGACTACTGAAGTAACAGCATGTGGTTGCAACTACTGGTACAGCTGGATATGTAACGCTTTATATTAAAAGTTCTTTAAATTGCATTAAAAATGGCACTACCCACACCCCTCCCACACTAAAAGGTGTCCAATTATCTTGGTCAACGTAGGGAATTGTATAAATATACCGAGGGGGAGAAAAACCCATGCTGTACATTGGAAGATTACTCTCAACGCTGGTTTTGCAAAATGCATTATGCATTTGTGTTGAAATGTTAAGAAAACGAGCCACTGCTGTTCATAAAGCAGTTAACAATGCACTTGCATAATCGCGCGGGCCTTTATGTAAGCCGCGATGGACAGCGCATGTATGAGTGAAAAGCCGCCTCGAGTTGCTCCGGCGAAGAAAGGGGAAAAAACGAGAAAGGAAGGCAGAGGGAGCGTGAGCGGTGAAGGGCAGGAAGAGAAGCCAGGAGGGGAGGAAAGGGAGTGGGGCGCGAGGCAGGAAAGGGAAGCGGAGGCGCGGGCGGGGGCGGCAGACGAGGGGCGGGAGCTAGGGGCAGGGGCGAGGGCGGCGGCGGGGGAGATCCTCGTTGGCGGGGACAGACGAGTGGGGCCGCCCTAACCTCAAAGAGGCTCGCGGGTGAGTCACCGGGAACATTCCTCGCCACTCGCACGTCCCCACGCTTCTGCCATTGGCCAGCGGACGCGGATGCCCGCGCCCGGATTGGCTGGCCCGCGAAGGGTGGGGGCGGGCGGGAGGAGGGGGCGAGGCATGTGAACAAAGCGTGATCAGCGGCTGCACCGGCGGCGCTGGAAACGTGAACTGGGAATTGCCGCGCCGTCACCTTTCACCTACTTCCTGAGCCGCGAGCCCCCGCCCTCGCGCCGGCCCCGGGG